GCCAGGCGTGGTGGCACATCCTGTAGTCCCCAGCTACTCAGAAGGCTAAAGTGGGAAGATTGTTTGAGCCCAGGAAGTGGAGGCTGCAGTGAGCCGCTGATTGTGCCACTGCACTCCAGCCTGGGCAACACAGCAAGTAAAGCCCAAGAAGACGTGTTGGACTCTGGGAATCATGGAAAGAAGGAAATCCAGGGTGACCCTGGGATCTGCACTGAGAACCCGTGGACAGGGCATCCCCAGATGTGAGGTCACACTCAGAGAACACAGGGCAGTTCTGTGGGGCCTGCTTTGGACTCAGATGCCTCAGCCACCCACGGGGAGGCATCAAGTATTCCCAGGGGAGGTTACAAAGCTCTGAAGAGCTTCTGACCAGACATGTAACTTGAAGCCACAGAGCTGGAGGAGGCTGCCGAGGGAGCATACACATCAAGGAATGAATGAATGCGCCAGGGGATCACAAAGTGCATGTGCCGAGTCAAGGGGACTAAGGGAGAATCTCAAACTCTGTGAAAGCCACAATTCTGACCACAGTGCCACTTGGTAAGAGCTCACTTCCAGGCACTGTGCCAAGAGCTTCACCCACATCACCTCATTCCTCCTCACAACCACCCTACGAAGTAAATCCTATGTTCATATTATTAATGTTGGCACTGGGGCACAGAGAAACTGAGGAACTCACCCAAGGTCACACAGCAAAAGGTGATCCACTTGAACCCAGGTGGCCTTTTTTTTTTTGAGACAGGGTCTCACTCTGTTGCCCAGGCTGGAGTGCAATGGAGTGGTCATAGCTCATTGCAATCTACCTCTGCCTCCTGGGCTCAGGCAATCCTCCCACCCCAGACTCCCAAGTAGCTGGTACTACAGGTACAAAACTACACCTGGCTGATTTTTTAAAAGAATTTTTTTATAGAGACAGGGTCTCACTATATTACCTAGGCTTGTCTCCAACTCCTGGGCTCAAATGATCCTCCCTCCTCGGCCTCCCAAAGTACTGGGATTATAGGTGTGAGCCACCGCACCCGGCCAACCTGACTTGCCACTAGACTGTCTGACCTGACGACAGTAAACTGCATCCCAGCCATAGTGCTCTCCCACACACGCACGAGGCTGGGCCAACCACGTGTCGCTGCACTCCGCTTCAGACGCTTGGCAGATACAGCACTCCTCACAAACTGAAGAATCACGGCGCCCTGCACTGCACAAGCCTATCGGGCCATTTTCCCTACAGCATGCGCTTAGTTCATGCCTCTGCCACATTTTGGCAATTCTCACAATATTTCAAACTTACTCATTCTTAGTATATCTGTTACAGTGATTTGTGATGGGTGATCTTTGATGTTACTACAATAACTGTTTTGCAGCACCACAAATTGCACCCACGTGAGACAGTGAACTTCATCGATAAATGTTGTGTGTGATTTGACGGCTCCACTGACCAGCTGTTCCCTATCTCTCTCTCTCCTTGGGCCTCCCTATTCCCTGAGACAAAACAACATTGAAAGTAGGCCAATTAGGCCAGGTGTGGTGGTTCATGCCAGTAATCCTAGCACTTTGGGAGGCCAAGGCAGGCAGATCACCTGAAGTCAGGAGTTCGAGACCAGCCTGTACAATGTGGTGAAACCCCATCTCTACTAAAAAAACACAAAAATTGGGCGGGCATAGTGGCTCATGCCAGTAATCCCAGCACTCTGGGAGGCCAAGGCGGGCGGATCACCTGAGGTCAGGAGTTCGAGACCAGCCTAGTCAACACAGCAAAACCCCATCTCTACTAAAAATACATAAATTAGCTGGGCATGGTGGTGTGCACCTGCAACCCCAGCTACTCAGGAGGCTGAGGCAGGAGAATCGCTTGAACCCCGCCTGGGCAACAAGAGTGACACTCTGTCTCAAAAAAAAAAAAAAAAAATTACCCAGGCGTGGTTACGGGTGCCTGTAGTCCCAACTACTTGGAAGGCTGAGCCAGAAGAATCACTTAAACGTAAGAAGCGGAGGTTGCAATGAGCCGAGATCATGCCACTGCACTCTGGCCTGGGCAACAAAGTGAGACTCCATGTTAAAAAAAGAAAAAAAAAAAAAAGCTAAGCCAATTAATATCCCTACAGGGACCTCTAAATGTTCAAGGGAAAGGAATAGTTGCAGGTCTCTTAATTCAAAAGCTAGACAGGATTAAGCTTAGTGAAGAGGGCATGTTGAAAGCTGAGACAGGCTGAAGCCAGGCCTCTTGCACCAAACAGCCAAGTTGTGAACGCAAAGTT